AACACCATCATGGCTATATATGAGTTGGACACTGCAGTCACAGAGTAGGCAGAGGTTCGGTCTCAGTCTATCTTCGCAACATCTGCGCCTTCTGGGCCTCCTGCGCTTCGCGAGCGTGCTTTTTCTATGGGAACATTATTCGTTGTTTCTGCTGCACTAGACCTCCAGGAGTAGTCTGCTTGTTCACAGTAATTCGCTACCTCCGATCAGTTTCCTAGACAAAACACATGGACTTCTCACATGCCTCCCTCCCGACAGGACAGAGGAATAAGAACATCTCGTAATACATGCGATTTTGCGCTTAATTCCAACTTAATTGTCGTTAAGACTAAGAGTCAAGTTTACAGTTTAGTTTTAGATTTTGCGTTTAGGTGGGATTTGGGCTAGGGTTTCGATACGACAATAGGCATCCCTTCTGAAATTAACGACAAAGCCTTCTGTAGCACTGTAGGACAGTGTTGCTTTTTCTATTCCCTGCGAGGCTGGGGTGACACACAAGAAGTCCTCGCCGCAAAACCATTAACACGCTGCGTGAACTTGAGAGATATTCAGGAATTAGTCCCATCAGGAACCGAATTGTGCATCAGGTATAGGTGTGGCAGGCCATTTGTTTAATCCTAATTTGTAATTTAAGTGAACCTGACAATACATTCGAGTTACGTCTTCCCTTGGAGCTTCATCCGGAGACCTCGTAAGAGATCACGAAGGAAATGCTAGCCTTCTATCAAGACACGTGGTTGACAGGGCGGAATGAAGTATTTATTTTTCATTTGTTTTCATTAACCAGCCACATCACTCCAGATTCGGGTCTCAGTCCTCCCTGCAGCACTTCCTAAATCGCAGGGTAGGAAACCTATTTTCATTTCTTACCTTCGGCTTCTCTCACTTCCTCAGAAGTTGTGTCAGTCATCCTCAACCTATAGAGTTTGGTTCGCGAAGTAATCGCTCGCCACGCGGAGGGCTGAGGCGACCCCAGCTTTCTGCAGTGGTAAGACATTGGTAAGGCAACACTCCGTGTAGCTTGTTCTACTTTCCCTTCCATATAGTAAATAGGAAGATGATCGTTTAATTGGTATTTATGCGCATCGGAAGGATAATCTTCACCCTACCATCAGGTTTGGTCAGTGTACGTTTTGTACGCGTGAGTTAACACCATCCCAGTCAACTCGAGTTGGATATTATTGGCGCAAGGAGGCGTTGCCCCATGCTCACTGGGTTCAGGGTTTAGACGGTTACGTCAGCACCTGGATTTGGCTGATCA